CTTTAGAGTAGCTGTCACTGAAAGTGAGACTGTTTAGTCATGTTTTTAACCTTGTGGTCATATTCCAACAATGAATGGTTGAGAACTTTCCTTTTTATCTGTGCTAAATCAGCTGGAGGCAAACAGGGATAAAGTACGAGTTAATAGAAGATCCGGGGAGAGGGTGTACTTGGCTTAAAAGGTTAGGTACCGCTGAACAAATTGGTTTTCAAGGACTCACGTGAGTCTCAAACAGCTTCTACTATTTCACCATTTAGCGTCTTTAACAAGGTGTCGTTTTGGACCGGAAGCCTAGCTATAAAAAGGTCAACATTTAATGTTACAAATAATCCTTTGATAAAAAAAAAAAAAAAAAAAAAAAAAAAAACTTGATTCAATGATGTTAGTTTAAAAAAAAAAAATGCTTCATAATGTATGCAAAACTAAAGGAGTCGGGGTTATAGCGGAGCTCCACGCGCACGAAGCGCTAAGTAAATCGACCCATCCCAGAAAATTTGGTTATCACGTGACCGTACACCGAACGACCGTCCGTCTGCACCACAGGTATACCAATGTTTACTCTGGCACTTTGTAGCAAGTTTGGGAGCCCAGGAGAAAACTGATTGCACATCCATGTTGTGATCAATTGACAGCTGTCAAAACAGGGTATCCGCTGACCAGTATCACCTGACCGTATCGTGGGCTCATGTGTCGACCCATCGAGGTCAGGTATTGTTTTAAAGTTATCCGCTGACAAGTTACTAATTTTCAAATGATCGCAGGCTCAAGTTTGTTTTTTTTTTTTAATTTATATGAAATATGTCGTGTTTATGTCACTATGGCCCAGCACTATTAAGATTTTGATTCCAAACTTACTTCGGACACGAAAGTTCAGCCAGTTATTTAAAAATACAGGCGGGGAAGACCTTTTCTTACCATGGTCACGCTTTGGTCACGCTCTACGTCCAATTTTTATGCTCTGATTGGTCAAAATTTGACAGGTGAGTTCTTGCGGAAAATTTATGCAGCATGTTGAGACTTGCTTACTTTGACAGCTGAAGCTGACAGAGTTTTGTGTCGACTTGTGATGTTTTTTAATGTCTTTTTTCACTGGATGTACAAAATGAAATACAGCTGCTATCAAGAGTCTTCTGTTATTCATGGCTGGTTTGTTTATTGGGTTTTTGGTTGAGAAACGCGTCGCTTGTCAAGGTCGGAGATCCGATTTCGGATGGCATCGTTTTCGTTTTTCACCTTGCTTGATACGTATAGAGGAGTTTAAAAGTCTCAAGCGATTCCGGCCTTACTTGATAGCTTTCAGGAGCTGCATCTGGAATGGTAAGCCTTAGGCCTGGTTCAGACGCCGTACTTTTCATGTGCCGAACCTAACTGAATCAGTTCGACTTTGGAGCGACATCTGATTCAGACGGCGTACCGTGTGTCGAACCTAAGTTAAGTTCGACAAAAGTTCGACAGACTCTGTCGAACTTAACGCTTTTGCCGCACCAAACTAAAACTGCCGTACCAAATTGATTCAGACGCCGCTCTTTTGCCGTACTTAATTCATCAGTTAGGTTCGGCACATGAGTGGAGCGGCGTCTGAACCGGGCCTTAGTAATTATTGTATCTGATGTTTGTTTGTTTGTTTGTTTTTTTTTTTTATATATATATCTAACCTCATAAAGTCGAGCACAGTTTATGCGGGAAGTTAATTATCCACGTTTGAAAGATTTGAGACAATGATCTGACCTAGTATCAGGTTTGATATAAGCTTACAGAACCTTAAAAAAAGCCTTTAGATATATTTTCTCACCGCAAATAGAAAGAAAACGTTCCGGAGAATATTTAGTTATAAATTTGCCTGTAGAAAGAAAACTTTGAGCGATTTTCTTGCCTCCAGTTCATCTTTGAAGAAAGCAAACACCGGGAAGCCGGCTTAAAACATAAACTTGAAGACTCAGGATTTTTAGAGACACTTTAATACTTGTCTTCGTGAATGAAAATTGCTGTCACCGAATTATCTTGTGCAATTTTAATCGCGTGCTGTGCCGTTTGTGGAGTACTCAAAATGTCGCGCGTATCAAACGCTTTTCAAGATTACACATCGTTATAAAGCCATTAAATAATAATAATAAAAAATAACATAATAAATTAGTTATTATGTTGAAGCGTAACGCTATTAATGTTCATTCACACACTCGACCGCTTGTCAAAAGTGAGAAGCGGCTGGCCGTATAGGTGAGTTTAGAAATTTTTTGAACGGTTTCGCTAAAAGCCAACGATCGATCGTCCTTGATATTGACTGAGTGCAATTTGTCTTGAACACAGTGAAATACTGCATTCTGTCCGAGGTCTGTATGATAAATACAGCGCCGCATAGTACTGTTTCTCAGATGTGATGTATAAAAAGTATAAAAGGATGGTTTACACAGCTCCAGATTTGTTGGCAAGATTTTGTAAAGTAAACTTATCGAACGCAAAAGATTCGGCCTTATTTGTTTTCCAGGCCTAATCTACTGTGATCAAGAGCCGTTTTGGCTATTGAATGTGATCGAAGATGATTGCTATTTTTTGGGTAAACATATAAGTCAACTCGATGTGAGATGTTTCACTCTAAAATCACTTAGCTTTTCCCTCAAAAGCCACATGAATGTGCCCTTAAGTTAACAGATTTGTGGATGAGAAGTTTATTGTTTGATTTAAATTATATATTTATTAATGGGAGCTTCGCTTTTTAGCCCTGGCTAAATCTATATATTAGAATAATGTATCTTGACTTAAAACAGGGTCATGTGCCTGTAAGTCAAGTCTAACTAACTACCAAAAAAAAAAAAAAAAAAAGCAAAGCAACTCTCATCTCTTTCTTGATTTGTTAGTTCATCGCAAAAGCTCACACAATTTTTGACGCCCATCCTAAAACAGTGCATAACTAAAGGAACTTTTCGAGTTACGAGATAAACATGGGAATTATGAGTACTCCCTCAGGGTCGGTGCATAGCGCTCGATATCTTCGACGCTCACTGAGTCCCCGTTTATCTCCACCATTATATACCGCCTCTTCTGGACATAGTTGTGCACCTATTCACTGCAAAACAAAATAAAATGGATTATTTTCTTTCCTCTCTGTAAAAGGTATAGAAGTACCAAAAGTATTTTTGTTTTGTTTTGTTTTGTTTTTTATTGCTAGCGGAAAATTAAGTTTTACCAACGATTCAGTGTTCTTTTCGGCTTAACTTATCTCTCGGGCTGAAAGGCGACGACGTCACTAAGCACGTGACTTAGGCAAACTGCTTTTATATCTGTTCACTTAGAACAGTTCAATCAGCTTGACTTTGATATTTAATTTACAGTTTTGGGTCAGGTGACGAGATTTGGTTATATTTACGCCTTCTCGTTCGTTGTAAAAGGTAGCTTGCTATGTAATACGCGATGTTTCTACTGATAGAAGCCATGGGTTTTAAAAAGTCAAATTGTTTTATTAATACCCAGGCTTAGCCCCTTTCTTTATTTTAGGTGTATCCTTACTGGATAAAGACGGTTATTTACTATACCACAAACTTTATTGACTCATCGTCCTAGGCTTTCCTCCGCAGGGCAAGGTTTGTTATACGCTGGAAATCTTTCATCATAGGTCCAATGTTTTTTGGCTAGTAAGCCTCTTATTAGTTTACCGCCGGCAGAAGCAGGCATCGAGGACACGTTTTTTTAGGTTAAGATGATAGCAAAGATTGCGCTTAAAGGGCGACGATGTTGCTAACTGGCTAAGAAAAAAGTACCAGTATTTTCAAGGAAACCATCAAAAACACAGAAAAATATAAAGTCGTTACATTAATGGTAAATAAAGACATACAAAGCATTAATAAAAGCTTAGCTAAATAAAAGAAAACTGTACTCTTGACGGAATTTCGTACTGCGACTGTCCGGCATAACTTCACTTGCTATAACTTGCTCAGGTATGGGTATCTCCCACTAGGAATACCCATACTGCACTGGGCCAGGTTGTTCAAGCTGGGTTAAGATAAGATAACCCAGGGTTCGTGTGAAATTTGAGTTCAAATATTAAAAGTCTAAAACGTAAATTCAGTTTTTTTTATTAATTTTTTTAATTTGTCAACAATTTGACGATTGGATGCTCTTAGAAACAACATAGAAAATTATCCGAGAAAATGGTTAAAAAAAAAAAAGAAAAAGAAAGCCGGGTTAAATTTAACCCAAGCTAAGGTTAAGCGCTAATCGGCCTTCGAACAACTTGGCCCTGGTGATTTAGGCACCCAAATGAGTGTGACGACACCCCTCCCATTTTCTAAAGGAAAGAAACCATGAGACGTCTTTATTCAAAAACACACTGCACTCGAACAGCATTGGATAGACCAATATTGTGTGGATGTACGGGATTCTCTCTTAAGGGGCGGGAAAGAAAGAGTTAAATCTTATTTGTTAGGAAAAATCATGGACAAGATTTGTACATACATACCTCTTATTAGCCGAGTTTTCGGTCCATACTGTAAATTACGGACCGAGTTTTTTTCCATCGATTTATGGCCCAAGCGCGAAGCGCGCGGGTCATAAATCGATGGAAAAAACAAGGATCCGTAATTTACAGTGCGGACCGAAAAACGAGGCTAATAAGATGTTTATTATATGGCTTCTTCCTGTTTGGGGGACCGGAAACAAGTGCAGGACGCACGATTTGACAGTCATTTGACAGGTGTCAAAAAAGAAAGTTTTTATTGGCGCACGAAAACAATAGCACATAACAAAGGCTTTCCGAGAAAGTAAAAACAAATTCGCCATGTTCAAAAAAGTTTATTCGGTCAAAACTAAGAGCACTGTTAGTTTTAGCTCTTAGTGTAAAGCTGGAGTATTTTGGAAACCGGACACTGTGTCTTTCTCGAAGTCGTTTTCATCTTTCCGCCGTTTGTCCTTGTGAAAAGACACTGCAAAAGGCAAAGATGCGTTTCAAGGTAAGTTTGTTGTCATTGTTAAAAGATTCGCTCGTTAATTGTTTTTGGGAAAACCTCTCTTTCTGCCAGTTCATTCTCGTCTTCATTTGTGATCTGCGTTAAAACTTTCAAACACTGACTAGAATTCTCTTCCTCGGTAAGGTTGCGATTCAGTTTCTACAACAGCTTTGTTTTCATTAAAACAAAGCAAGGTTAAAATTTGGAAAGGAAAAAGTCAACATCCCAGTCCTCAGGGTTTACATACATATTTCAAAGTTTATTCGGTGGAAACGAAGAGCACTGTAAGTATTCACTCGTTAATGTGACGCTGGAGTCTTTTGAAAACTGAACATTGTGTCTGGCTCGAACTCGCTTCTATCTTTCTTTTGTTGGTCTTTGAAAAAAAACACTGCAAATGGCAAAGTTGCCTGCGTGCAGACGTCTCCTATTTCCTTTGTCGCACGCGGAAAAGGGAAGTCTGCGTAACGCCGTCGCTAATCGTGTTCCAGCGTCCCGCTGGCAGGGTATTCTATTTCGCATAAATTGTGAAATAATATCCGGTTAGAAATAGGAGTCGACAGGGCAAACAAAACATCATAAGCTCGTGATACGGGCGAAACGTGACCTTGAGAGTCTGCTTGAACAGAGGTTTTTCTTCTTTTCTCTCTCGCGCGAAGATTACTAGCACTACACAATGCATGTAGCATTCTAACCTTTGACTGAGTAAATCTCATTTTTGCCGCGCCAAGTCTTCCATTTAGAGGTAATGAAGCAGGTTTGTTACATGCATACTGAGTAATCGTTTCCTGTGGTTTATGCTTCTGTGGGTGTTCCCGATTGGATTTGATTTCAGATGCAGTTGTAAAGTGTTTAAATCTTCTTGACCTCTGTTTGTTACGGCTAAATAAAGATTTTAGTTTCTTTGGCTGGCTTTCTCCGAAATGCCTGCCTGGTGCGAAGTCCACGCCGCTTTTGTAGTTTCCTCACACACTGTTTACAAATATGATGTGATGTGTCATGCACAGTAAATTGTAAAGAAATAATTTCCTCGTACACGTTAAATTTTCCGCGTCCCCGCACAAGATTTCGATCGCTCTGCTTTTCGATCGACGAAAACCACAGCACACAATCGCACATGTTTTGATTTGTTTTGGTTAGAAAACCCCGCTTACATAAATCATTTAAATCACCGCATACATTATCAGACCACATTCGATAACAACCAATCAGCGTTAAGTCAAACAATGCGCACTGTGTGTCAGCCTATCACAGCGTGTTCCCAAGATCTTGGGAACCCAGCAGGACGCTGGAACACGATTAGCGACGGCGTTACGCAGACGTCCCTTTTCCGCGTGCAACAAAGGAAATAGGAGACGTCTGCACGCAGGCAAATGGCAAAGAAGCTTGTCAAGATGATGGGGTGCAGGTATGTTTGTTATCATATTTGTTGAAGGAATTACTCATTTTCTCTTAGGCAAAACGTCTCGCATCTCTGCCTGTCGATTTTCGATTTCTTAACTGTGTACTACAATAAAATTTTCAAACACTGACTAGAATCCTCTTCGATAAGATTACGAGCAACTTTCTTCATCGCCTTCATTCAGAAATAAACACAGTTAAAAATGTTGAAGGCCAAAGTCAACATCCAAGTCCTCAAGGTTGACAGGCGTCTTATAACTTTATTTACACATTTTTTTCCGAGGTAAAGAGATTTAGACCTCCGAAATGAGCATTTTCTTTAAAAATTTTGGTCCGTATAGCAAGTTACGGACCGCAAATTGACCAATCGCATGGCGAAAATAGACTCAGCCATATAATAATTTATATTATCTTGTTATTGAAAGCTTTAATGACGCATTAAGCCAAACTACACTGAAATGAAAACAATATAACAAAGATGCTATTAAAGTAATGGGAAGGTTAGACAAGAACCTCAGTGTTACGAGTAATAACATTCTATTTCTTCTCCACTGTTTGAGAGATAATCTAGCTTGCGTGGCAGGCATTCCAAAGAGAAGGAAAAGAGGATTTGGAGCACGTGAGAAGCGCGAAGGGCGCGCGAGGAAGGAGAGAGGAAAACGCCTTCCTTTCATCCCTTCTCCCTCGCTCGCGGTCTCGCGCCTAAATTCACTTCCCTTCCCTTTCGAACGCCTGCCACGCAGGCCTAGAGATAATCAAATTATCCTATATTCATATTCATCTTTCCAGGTAATTGTTATAAATTTTACAAGGTGCGATTTTTATCCTCAAAATTCGTATCCGATTTTAATGATGGTTTTGCCTCAAAGTGTTTAGCTACAAAAGGAATCCTGCTTAAAGGTCCATTGAAGGCAAAGAGTACTTCTTCAGCAGTATCTGTCTTTCTTTCTTTCTTTTTTCTTTTCAGATGAAAGATTATATCACGACCTTTAACTTGACTGCATAATTTATTTAAATATGTATGTATACCATAAGACTGCCGTTCAATTCGTTGGTATCCCAAGTGAAACTGGGTTTCCCTGAAGTTTTTTGCATCGAAAACATATCACCTAAAAAAAGCATTCCCAATCAATCGCTCTTCTTCAAAGTATTTTTGATTCATCACTCAACGGGAATAGCGTTGCGTGATAGCTCAAAACGGCTGCATGGGGGACCCGATTCCCTTCGCGCTCAGCCGATCATGTTGCCGTTACGAAAGGTGCCCCCCCCCCCACCCAACAAAGAAGCGCTGCGTGACAAAACAAAGAGCTGCTGCACAGCACTAACACGCCGACGTAATAATACAAAATCATGATACTGTTAAAAGAGTTTACTATAGACAATCTAATACGACGAAACCAGTCACAAAAGGCTAACAATAAATTAATCAAAAACAATACTGTCGCACCTTGCTCTTTACAGTCTATATTTGTAGAATGCTATTCTAAGGAAATTGAAACAGCGCCAAATTTAAAGACTCCTCTTATTAGGACTGGGGCCTAGATACTTCTTCAATAATTATCCGGGACACTGAGCCCAACCCAGTGTTTGCATCACCCAAGATGTAACCACTACACTTTCCCACCCATAATTCCACTCTAACTGCGCCTTGTGGGATGTTTTCACAGTACCCCTCAAATGACCGATGATGATGCAGATCAGGGTTGTTTTTAGATCCCCGCCAGTTGTTGTGAGCAACAGCCTCAATCGTCATTGGTCCTCTGCATTCATTTCCATTGAACTTGAAATACCACCGGATACACTTGCCATTACCAACGACTCTCATGTTGCCCTGGAATGAGACTCTGAGCGCTGAATTAGACTGCAGTTTGTTAAACGCACAGTCCTGGAATAAAATCAAACAAATCAAACATATTGTAGTAAGGCAACCAATCGTGTGTAATGATTAATACTAACAACTCCAGTCAAGATTACTTCCTAATGTTTAAAAACTCTGTAATAGCTTAAATTTTTGTTGTCCTTATCCATATGGCTAGGAATCATTTTATCACCCACGATGGTCTTCCTTCTTTTTTTGTTCAAAAAGAACCAAAGTAGAGGGAAATATAACTTATTGGTTGTTTATGTAATGTGTTGGCAAACAGTGAGTGAGAGGGAAGACGTTTTTCTTTGAAAGATTTTAATTCGAAAAGGAATGAATTTTCTTAGGAGTGTGTTATGGTTGTTAGTCTAATTACCTTAATCTTTCCGTTATCAGTACCGGTTTCTGCTTTCCACACACATTGTTTCCAGTTGGTTTGTTGTACTGCACTTGCTTGCCTTACTTTGGCGCTTTCTCCTTTCTCTCCTTTGTCTCCTTTTCTTCCTGGATTTCCCACAATGCCTCGCTCTCCTTTTATTCCGACGGCTCCGCGCTCTCCTTTCATTCCCAGAAGCCCGTGTTGACCTTTCATTCCCTTAATTCCTCGTGGTCCACTCTTCCCAGGGTGTCCTTCACGCCCTCTGTCTCCTCTTGGACCCGTCATTCCTTGCGGACCTTTATCACCAATTTGTCCTTTTACACCTTCCCTTCCCTGGGGTCCGTGTGGCCCTGGGACACCTGGCAATCCCGGTATACCATTTGATCCTGGAATACCAGGGAAACCCAGCATAGATCGCTGAAATTAAAGTTGAAATTAAAGTTAAGATGACTTGTAATTAGCACAGACGAAGACGACACGGAATCTTAAGGTAATTCCCTTGTTTTGCACTGCGCACCCTCTACTGCGCATAACATTGCCACATCCAAGATGGCGGCGGTTCTTCTCACTAGCAAGAAGAGAACAAAGAAGGGCCGCTTTTGCAGAGCTAAAGCTTTTATTCGCAATAATAATGTCGCAGATCGGCCGACACCTTCCTGGTTTGCTATCGAAAGGCAAGAAAATGAAAGAAATGCGCGTGATCCCGAAGTCAGCAGTGATTTTTCACTTCGCGGCCGTCGAGTTGTGGAATTATTAAAATGTACTGGCTGAGGCTTTGGGTTATGGGGGCTGTGAAGCCTGTGGGAAACCTCTACGGCTCACCAACTGCATTAACGAGCCAATATCTGGCCTGGGATCGCTACTGTACATATGTTGTTCAAACTCCGAGAGTGGAGAGACGAACATTTCTGGAACAAATAAGACCCACCGTAGCACCAGAACTACGCGAGGGAGACCAGTAAACACGAGGTCTGCTGCTGAATTCACATTTTGCTGTGTACAGAAACCAAACAAGCGAACATATGAAGAATAGGAATCAACAGTCTTTTCTTCAAGTTTCTTTGTCAAGCATTATTGTGCAAAAGCAAAAAAGTCGAACCCTAGCTAACTGGAATTAAACAGAACGCCGGCGCTACAAAATGGTCCAAAATAAAGATTCAAAACTCCAAAATCTCATCAAATCTTGACTTACCTCATTCCTCGGTATTTAATGTAATGTTTTCAAGTTTGAATTTCTGTGTTGGCGATATCAAACAAATAAAAACAACCGAAAACAAGCTTGATCTCGAGTGCATACTTCGAACACGATGGGCGTTATTTTGTTTCTCGCCCCAGTCCCCGCCGCGCAAAATATCCATCTTGACTGCAATCTCAAAACCATGTCCACCTTTCACAGCAGTTTGTGAGGAAACAAGCACGGTGACCCCCGATTTTTTTCCCAGGTATTTGCTAAGAACAGTCTAATAAACAACATATTTGAAGAAGAAAAAAAGTTTGATAGTAGAACATGATTTTTGGGGAAAGTAGTTTCGTATTTGGTGTATTTGGGTCAAGGTGAGGACTTCAAGCTAACCAGGGAAGCGTCCGAAAAAGCGCAATATCCCCACAACCAGGCAATCGAAAACGAATTAAATGAAGCAATACTGCTTATTTGAACAAAAGAAGCTTTATGTTCAAGATAAAATTTTGTGTGTTTCAAGTAACAGCGACTTCATTCTGTAAGAAGGGGATTCGAATTTTAAACGCGCAACCAGTAAAAATACCCCAGTTTAAGAGCCTGCTGACGCGTAAACAAGCACGGTGACCCCATTTTTTTATTGCATTTTTTTAATGTTCATATCATGAATGTTGATTGTGCCAAGTTTCAAGAAAAGTTTGATAGTAGATCAATTTCAAGGGAATTACCTTAAATGATAAAAGACTCGGGGGGGGAGGGAATGTACTCCTGGGAATTCTTGGTGGGGATGTGCCGCCCGGTTCCCCAAATCTGACTCTATTTCAGACCAAAACACGTCATTTTTTACACCCCGTTTTCGGACTCCAAAATCCATACTAGTTTTCAGGCCTTGTCTCTAAGAAATTATGCATGTCACCATTTCTTAGTTTAAGAACAGCAACGAAAAAGAATTCGAATAATTATTTCTCTTTCCTTCTCATTTGGAATTGAAACGATAAATACGTTCATACACGCTCGTAGCTCCTTCGCAAACAATGATTACAGACCAAAATGAGCAAAGTTTATACCCGCCAGCCGTCTCTCCTTGTTTTCAAGGCACGGAATAGACCTTGGATATCATAATCCTCTTTAAAGCGTGCTCGCCTGGAATGGACTTGGATGGAATCAGAGAAAATAAAAGAATTAACAATGGACAGGCTCTAGGCTTTCAAAGAAAGATCATGCTGAAGCGAGGACTTTTAAATACTGACTGCCATACACTTCTAAAGGGTACTTTTTAGTAAATGATCATAACGACGTAAGAGTAATAAAACGGTTTCTGTTTGTCCTAATCTAAGGCGTAGTACTCCTTCAATGTTTATGGATTTCTTACCTGGCATAAGTCTTGTAACTTTGAGGCGACAGTTTGTTGCTGAGGTGAGGTGGTTGTTCCCAGTGAGCAGCCTAAAAAAGAGAGAATCAGGAAAACAGCGAAATATTGAAGCATGGCGGTGAGACTTGAACGAGAACACAGCGTTTACTGAAATCACTGCTACGTGTTCACCAATTAATATAGCAAATATTTTAAGTAAATCCTCTGTTCCTGTGTATTGTTTGTTTGTTTTTGCTTGTTTCTTTTAATTTCCTTATATGGCAAGTTTTTTTGCACCTCTTTATTCTCTGTTCATAAGCCTGTTTCAGAGTACTGAAACAGGGTCAAAAGATGAACATTCCAAAAATAAATGGCAGAATATATTGTTCCAAAAGTAGCAAAATCTTATGCATGCTATCACGATTTTGTGTTTCTAACGGAACTCGATCCATTTCCAAAAATATAACTTTGCCTTCAGTCCAAGTTGGCTATGTTATGTCAGAAAAAGTAGCGGCTCCATTAAGCTCCAGCTAAGCAAGCTTTAACGTTTCTAGTGTTAGTGTGTTTATTTTTAAACTCCCATATCTTATACCTTGATGGCTGAGTGGGGGGTGGGGGGTCCCTATAATAATCTATACGGGGAGGCGCTGCCCAAAAGGGTACCTTGTTTCAATTCAGGATAGACTATTCGACGTTATTTTCAACTTTTGACACGGACAAGCTAAAGCAACCAATGGAAAGAACGCATTTAAATTAGAAAAATTGCAAAGTCTAAAAGTCGGACTTGTTGAAAACTAACCAAGATGTAGCTCCTCAATGTCGCCAAATTATACAGACGTTTGTATGGTGGGGGCCGGACACAAACTTGCTCCTCTCCCCCCCCTCCTCCCCACCCTCCACATACGAAAGTCTGTCTATTTTTGCAACTTTGCTGAGCTTTATCTTTTCACGCTTACGACGTATCACTTTCTCATTTGGCAATGTTACAGCCACTAAAATTAAAATTAAACTTCTGTTAGTACTAGATATGTGTCAAAGGCCGTGAAAGAAAAAAAGGATCTCCTTCCTCTACTGCTGTGAAGTTAGTGAGATGATTGTTTGCACAAAAAAATAATAAAATAAAATAAAACAAGAACTAACAAAAGCCTAGCAGAATCTTTTCACGGCCATGAAGCCACAGATTCGAGTCATTTCCAGTCCTGTTAAACCTTGCTCACTCTTAGCTGTCGCTTATAAGCCGTGGGATTGTACACCTTCTTAACGGGTTTTGATTCAGCGGGAAGGCGTATAAACGGAGGGGCTCTAGTAAGTGACGGGGCGTACAGATGGCATAGAAATAAGCTGTAGCATTGCTGATCAAAATACAGTTTTGAAATTACTGCTCGTTATGATTAAGGCTTCAAAACGTCATTATAAATCGAGTCCAATTTAGTTCAAGCAAGAGGGCAGCGTGTTATTTTCGGTGGGGTTTATATTCGGAGGTTTTTTTTTTTTTTTCTACAGATATGATCACTCTGGGCCACAACCAGATCTGGATATGCAATTTCCTGCAATCTGATTGGCTCAGAGCTCAACCAAAACATTGACTTGACCGCGAAAGGACTAAGCTCGACAGAAATGTCGAACACGGAAACTTCGAAGCAAATGGTACCCGAAGCAAATAGGTGTCGAGAGCTTTGGCTGGAATGTACCTTGAAGAAAAGTAACAGCAATACGGAGCCGATTAATCGAGATTATTTTATGCGTCATAGCGTTAGATTTACGAATATCGAGATGTTAATGATCGAGAACGCTTTCTGTAAACACCCGTGGATTTCTGATAATATTTCAAGAGACCAGAAACAACTCGACGACTCCGATCGAATTGGAAGAACAGGGAATTTGAATACCACGATACATTTTAAGTGGAAAGGTTTTAAGAAGTCCTGTTTGGAGTAATTTCTGCGAGCACAGCTTCGACCTGAAAGAGTCTGTTCTATTCCACTTCGAGCGCAATACCACACGCGCTAAAATCTAATTTCGATCGAAGGGTTGATAATGATAATCTTTAATGCTAATTATTCTTGCTGTATATAAATTTCCAGTATATTGAATCGTCACACATGTTGGAAATATGCGAAGGTCAAAGAAATAAATAAAATTTGTAGAAATTGCACTCGCGAAGAGTCGTAAGCAGTCATTAACGAACTTCTGTCTTTGCTTATTGCAAATGGAAAAACCCCATTGCGGATGAAAATTATGCAAGTGGACGTACTCGTGTTCTAATAGCTGTTAAATAGTCACTGAGAGGACGTAAACATAATTTGACAATTGTATTTTGAAAAACAGCTTTGACAAATGAAATATATGGGCACACTTTACTATTGTTTGTGTCAAAATATTTAATAGAATGGTTTTTCTCAAGACAAGAAAATATATTTATTTATATCTCTCTATTTTTTTTTTTAATTTGTTCCTTTAAATTATTGTTATTAAGGGGGTGCATCAGTTGAGACGACTGATGCGGTTCTAAATCTCAAAGGAAGGTGCCACATTGGGATGCACGCTAGTACAGCATCACAGTAGTATTTTGGCATGAGAGATTTCATAATACCATGTGTCTACTACCTAGGATATAGTAGTTTTACGGTAGATAGGAATACTACGACTGTAATATGGGTTACACACGGATACAATTCTAGTTTAGTCACATTCTCACTTGGCATTGCAGTAGCAACATTCACTTTTATTGCACTAGCAATCATTTCCCTCCCTCCCTATTCATGCAAAGTGTGATCACTTTTATTAATTGATTGAGGTTGTTTTAATTCTTTTTTAGTTTGGTCTTTCTTATTTGTTGGAGCACTTTATTTTTATACTAAATATTACCTTTTAATTATTTACCATGTATTGTATTTTGTTATAATTAATAAAGGCTGTCTTGTATCCCAAACAATGCCTGGGTTTCTGAGTTTTGTTGATTTAGTGTAAAAACTATGCCATTATAGTAATATCCTGTCACTGTAAGTGGAATACATACACACTGAAAAACTTAGTGGGCACTAAGCTTCTATTATTATTAGATTATGTTTGTCCTGTATCATACAGTCAAACCACTCTTTACGGACACCAGCTTAATGTGGACTCCCTGTTATTATTCAACCCACTTAATACAGACTGACCTGTTAAGGGGGATAATGGACGTTTTTTTCTTCCTCAATGAACAGATTCTCATATAAAGTCAACCTCGCTAATCTGCACACTTTATAGTCCATTGTGTGCTTTAGTCAACCTCTCTTTTTGTAGGGTAAAAAAACCTTTCCCTTAATTGACGTCATATCCATGTTCCCAGCATCAAAGTACACCAAAATGAATGAATTGTGCGCAACAATAATTGACCGTTTTAACATCAATCGAGTTGGTAACTGTTACATAATTTTTGATCGATTTTCTCGAGACTTCCGTGTGTTTTCATGGACACAGTCTGCTGGATAAGAGCCTTTTTAGTGATGTTTAAAGATGTTAGGTGTGATGCTGTAGTATTTCGATAAAAAAGTGTATTTTTGACTTTTATAACAGGACCTGTTGATATGGACACCTCTGTTATATGGACACTTTCTAATAATGGCCCCTTCAGTGTCCATATCAATGGGGTTTGACTGTAATTATGAAATATGCAACAGTTTTGTAAGATCGATCATTTGGTGTCCTGTTTAAAGTGTATTTTCAGCCATTCTTCGCATTTTCCACCTTGCATGTCATAACCTAAGGCAAAGTAAAGTAACAAATAAATAATAAATTAAAAAAATTATATGAGCAATCGAAAATACAGGCATTTTTTTATGTACCTCAATCTGTGTACATTTATTTCATTGAAATGAAAGGGTTATCCAGGGATGACCAATGGTCTTATTATAATGTCAGCATTGACATTTTAATTCAGTCATCGAAAATCATAAATTATATATTTAAAAGCACAGCACTATGTGAAACTGCTTTGAGCTACACCAAGCAGACCACTATCAACAAGCAAATTTTATGTAGATTTCAAAAAAAAAATTTTCCAAAGGTCCAAAAAATGACACTCACCTTCTTTTTTTCGATGTTTTGCTCCTTGTCGGGCATTTCTTTGAGCTGAAAAACTTTCATGTTCGGTCGTTTTACGTCCCAAGAACGCACAAACGTTCATCGGACGGCATTTTTTCTTCTCACCCCTTATTTATCAATGTCTAAAGTCACAGCTCTCAAAGTAGTAGGGAACTTAAGATGGAGACGTTTTCGGGGCGACGGCGACCGGACTGGCAGAGAAAGCCTGGAACTAAGGCAGCCGTCGCTCGCGGTCAGAAATAGAACATTAAGATCGCAGTGAACTCAGAAGGACGGCGCCTTTAATTAGAAGAATACCGAAGAGGAAAATATGGCTTCACATAAAGAATTAAGAGAATAAATATTTGCTATGCAGACAACATGTATCGATGAAGAGTTTCTCGTTTTGTGGGAAAATTATGAGTCCAAAAATCCCGATTTTCCTCAGGACAGTTACGATCCGTTCACGCTAAAAAACATGCGGGATGCAGCTGAGTTCAAGGCAGAATTTCGTGTTGAAAAAAAATGATCTCCACAGGCTTGCCGAAGCCTTGCAAATTACAGGAACATCAAAATGCTACCAAGGAACCGTATTCTTAGTTTGGTATTGAAATAATTCCCGGGAAATACTTGCATGCAACAACAACAACAACGGCAACAACTTTATTTCAATATTCCCACGCCGAGTTAGTACATGGTATTACCTACTATTCTATATAATTTTCAATGCGTTTCATTTATACGATATTCTAACGAAAAGAGCGAACTAAAAACACACAATTGAAATATCGGAGTTCATATTTTTTGTCTGGATACTTTTATTTGGCTCGTGGGAAAATTCTGTCCCATGTCCAGCTCACTTACGGTTGGCTGTTTGCCAAGTTGGATCTGGACCCTGTGACATGAAAACATAGAAACATTCAAAGATGTAAGTTTAGATAACAGAGCTTGGAAATCGAGCTTGAAATGTGCGTCAAAGAAAACAAGGACAATTTAAGAACGATAATCTGCAAAATGTTGGTTGCTAAACGCAACAAACCTGATTGAAATGAAAGTTAAATACTCACGTTTTCGCCACGACGCCAAACAGACCAGTTTCACGTCGCCGACGGGACCACGACGGCAAGGTGGTGAGCACGAGCATGCGCAATATCCAACAAATGATGATGTCACGTCCGGTTGAAGTTGCCGTCGCCCCGAAAACGTCTCTATCTTAAGTTCCCTAGTATGGGGAAAGGACACTTCTAGGCGCAGCAAAGAGCCAGGAAGTGACCTTCCCTCGTGTTTCTCGGCGTGGGCGCCATTTTGCAAATGTGGTTGACGTCATCATATATCCAGATCTGGTTGTGGCCCGGACTGATGATATCGGCCCATAACCATAATTAATTTTAATAGCAACATAGTGGAGCCCCGTAATACGAACACCCGTTTATACGACCACCTCGTGATTACGACCATATTCTCTCGTCGATACAAATGTAGAAATCAGACTTATTTTAATTTATATTTTTTTTGAACATCACCCGTTAATTCGACCATCTCATTTTTAAGACTAGGACTTTACGGCCCAACGGTGGTCACAACAACAGCGTTCCACTGTATTTAATTGTTTATGACTCCCGTTTCAGGATCGAGACTGAGCTTCACTGAGTTAAAACAAGGCTAATCGAGTAACAATGCGCTTAACATCAACTGCGTTCTGCACTTGAATATAAATATTTTTTAAACTTTTATTGTAACGCCATCCTTGCTTTAAATAACGCATTCACATGTATATCATAGTCATTAAAATAAAGTACAAGAATAGTTACGAACAAATAAGAACTTGTTTAAATAATTAACATTGTTTAGACTTGTTTCCTTCGGTAAGGCTCTTTTGAAAAAGCAAGACACCAAGATGCCGAAAAAAAAAGGGCATTATAAATAAACTCCTTCTAAGTGCATTTATCAGACATAATTGTCTGTTCACTTTTAAAACCTACTTCATTATATAACTAACAGAAAAACATTTAATTATTCAGTCCTCTGCCCTAGATTAGCTTTCCACTGTATCCGCTTTATCCGCAAGGTCTTCGTCAAACTGCGACCTTTTCAATCCAAGAGATCTTAGAGCATTTCCGCCTAACAATTTATCCTGCAACAACAGATGGATTTTGAATTGAAAGTTTTTTATCTGAAGTTAAACTATTCACAGTCCCCTATTTCTTCGTAAGATCGACAGGATAGAGCGCTAGCTTACCGGAACGGACGCTTATCTCGGTTACACTTGAACCTTGGAAGCGGGCTTCGGGCTTTACCTATCCAAGATGGCCTCCCGTAACGCAGAGTCTTCGATCCCGACGATCTTACGGAAAAATAGGGGACTTTGAATCGACTGATGAACGGGACATTTGATGAATTTGACGAAGGACATTGTCCTTTACTCAAACTTTGTCTTTTAAAGTAATTAGACATTGTCCTTTACTCAAACTTTGTCTTTTAAAGTAATTAGACTCTACTTATACATAACAACTAATGACTGCACTGAAAGGAAAGAAAAGTAACCGAGATGTTTAGGAATGGGAAGGTTTGATAAACGTTTCTCAGTTACCGGTAGAGGAAATCAAGTGTCCGATTTCTTTCGTCATTGTTTCTTGAGAAATATATCAAGTTATCGTACAATTATATTCTTCTTCTCAGCTGACTGTTTTAAATTTTACAAGATTCGATTTGAATAGGCAAATCCTAACCGTTTTTAATCATGGTTTTGCCCTCAAGTGTTTGGATAGAGAAATTCTGGCGATCAAAGTCGCGCCCTTCCACGAATAATTTATGAAATCATTTCGATAAAGAGAATACCTCTACAACAGTTTTTGATTGAATTATTTGAAACTCACAAACTCATGTTGATGTTTATGATTTTCTGACTAATTTTGGGGGTTAAATTATTTTTATTTGGATCGAGTATACGATTGGAGTGTACTGAAGCTAATCAAGACCGAGAGAATATCAATTCTATATAATACGCTTTTTCAGAGTGATCTCTTGAGTAGAAATGTATGTTTTCATTCTTCGTTCGTGTCTTCACATGTATGAATTATAAGACACCAGTCTCTTAATCAAAATATTTCTTTACCATTGTCCCTTTTCTGTTCCACTTCAGTGACCTACATGGCCTTGATTTATTGAAAATATAATATTCTGTTGAAGCAATGGAGACGGTGCTTTACTTTTCATGTGCAGTGTACCTATTCAACTTCCTTGACTGAGACCCCACTGTTAATAAGATGCAAGCCATGTAGCGGATATGCACAACGATGTAAACTGACTTGAAAGCGCCTCATTGGATATGCATAACTATTTTGGTTGGTGCTTGAGAATCAGCATGAGATTGTATTTTGCTATCTTAGGTGTTGGCAAGATAAGTTTGTGGTGGGCTGGTTTTACTGATCCGCCCAAACCATTCGGGTGGTATCGCAAATATATAGGGAGCAGGCCCCGGTTGTTCAAACGTTGGATAGCGCTATCCACCGGATAAATAACTATCCAGTGGATAAGTATTTCTGAAATCAATTACGCTATCCGCTGGATAGTGATTTATCCGGTGGATAGCGCTATCCAAAGTTTGAACAACCGGGGTCAGAACAATAGAGGAGATGTAAGCCAATCAGAAAACACTGACGTCACTAGAACTGATAAAACTGATTGGACAATACCGATTCTTTTATCTTTATTGTTTGTTGTTGTGATTTGAAATGGCAAATTGAAGTACCTGTGACAAATTTTTCGCAGGCCATCTCGTTTACTTGAAACTTTTTTTAAGAAATTGAAGTTCTTAGAAAGAAACGGAATTTTGATTGTCGATGCAGACATTCCCAGATTCATTAAACAACGACGTTTATATCAATTCTCTTAACTTTGCGACATATATTATGATAATATCTAATTCTTCCTTGTTTTGGTGAGGCAAGTAAACTGCTTTAATTCTTGTAAAAAACTAATTGGATGACCCTTTAGACTGTGAAAATCAAATCATAATATGAGAAAGAAAAATCAACGACTGTTTTAGAGGACCGGTTCATTTATAGTTTACTGGACCGTTAGCGCGTAAACAGAACGACCAAAACTGTACGTAACTGATATTTATAGTTGTTTTTGTTTTCTTTTGGTGTACACAAGGATTGTAAAGTTTCTTTTAACCACTGATTCTAAGCTAGAGAAGAGAAAACGACGTGTAAACGACGAAATTAAACAACGAGCTAACAACGCAAAACGCATCGGTTGTCGCCAAACCAAAATTGATTCATAGTGTGTTTACGTTTTTTGTGCGAGTTTGTTTTAAAATTCATGAAAACAAAACATTAAAGGTGAGTGATAACTTCCTTTGCTTTAGATAAAAAGTAAAAATGCACATTGTTATTGTGGTTGCGGAAAGCATTGTTGGTTAGTTGTGGTCGATGGTGAGCTTAAAACAAGACTTACTATTATTTTGTATGTTTTACTCGTTATTTTAAAACGGCCCACGCGAATAGACGTTCTTTGACTGTCCCTGCTTTAGCATTCGTTTATAGCCGAGGCAAAGTTTCTGACATCCTTTCCAACTATTAGCATTAGCATTGTGACGTGTGACATGATGCCGGCCGTACATTCGTTTTTTGTTGTTGTTTAATTTTGGCGCAATATTGTGCCTTAGTTTCTTCTTTTAGGGCCTGTTTACATGGAGTGGGGGACCCCGGTCTAGTGGGGTTGGTTTCTTTTGTTTTCACGCTCTGGGGAACACAAAACAAAACAAACCTACCCCACTAGACCGGGGTCCCTCACTCCATGTAAACAGGGTCTTAATAGGAAGCTCAAGCAAAGACATTCGACGCACGTCAATACGAAGTGAGACCTTTAATTTTCTTTCTTAATATGCCATGAAACCCAAATTTTTACAAGTACAACTTCCGTCTTATAAAACGCTTGTCCTGAGAATTTGGGCTTGATGTCATCATAATGCTCGGCAGAATACTGCCCATGGGTGCAAAAAGCGCACTTTCGGTTCACGTGCGTCCGGCTCAAAACGTCTTTGCTCAAGTTCGCTATTAAAATGTTGAAGCCTTTTTGCCAGGCTTTCCCAGCTTTGCTGAATAATATCATGCAGACAGTTGTATCTCCACTTCTCCTTCTCACTTGATCCTTGATCTCCTAAACCTGCGTTAATGAGCCTGAATTCGTGTTAATCCCGTTCACGCTCGTTGTCTTCATATCCCCTGGTTTTGCTTCACTTTTAAATGCTTGCCATTCAATATATTCAGTGATCTCCATAATTCATCTACATCTGATCTCCACTGACTTTACCCAAAAAATGCGTAGAGAATATTCAGCTATGCATTTTGCATGTTAAGGGGGCTGGGGGATTGGTTGGTAATCTGAAGGGAAACTAAACGTAGTTCGAGTTAGCGAGGAATTTGAGTTATTAGGGTAAATTTCAGTAAACGGTTTTGATGAAGGGAAAGGAAATTTAGTTCGGCTCAACGATCGATCGAAGAATTCTAGTTATCCGAGACAATTATCGAGGTTCTACAGACTATAAAAATATATTGAAATGATGCTGGTCGTTACCGTAAACTGGTCGCCTCTAGCTTACGGAAGAGGTTACGTGCAGAGCTTCGACTGCATATAGAATGATAAAAAAAAAAGTGATTGAACCCTATTATAAGGGCAAGATATCGTCATTTGTTGGAGTGTCTCACAGGTCAATTCTTTTCGTCAGCCTTCAGCTTTGGCAAGTCGTATTTCGCTTAGCAACGCCCAGGAACTAACAATTTATTAAGTCACTTCAGATGGTAGTATCTCCAAGAAAAATTATCTGCTAAAAAACAAATCCACTCTTAATTAATTTAAAGACACAAGACGAGAAAGATTATTACGAAAGCTTAGGACAGAAAAAAATGTCATATAATCTTATTAAGAAAACATGCCGGCAAACTAGAGGATGGCTTTATTTCAGAATCAAAAAGCCTTGTTGTCTTCTAATCTTTTTTGTAAGCAGACATCCCGTTCTAACGAAAGATGAATTCACCTCGTGCCTACCTTTCCCCGCGAGCAAAAGCAAAAATCAGAAACAAACAAAAATATGTAAATAACATCTGTTTTACAGGCTAGGACAAGAAGCAGACAAACCTACACCCGTTTTTATAAATAACCAATTATCATCCCTTTCGAAAATGGTCAATTCAGATTTAATTGAAGACCCGGGGGATTCCCTTACTTCTTTAACCTAAAAGGAACAGGAACAGGAACAGGAACAGGAAGTTGTTGATTTTAAGATCTCAAAGAGGGTAAACTAATTCACTATTTAGCGTCTTTTAATAATGTAAATTTTTAGACCAGATGCCTTTTATTGAGTGTGAAAGTTAGGCCTACTTTTGCGCTATGAATAATTCCTTTGTAGAATTATCTGATGTTCGATTAAAAAAATATATGCTTAATTCTGTATGCAAAACGAAACGAGTTTGCGTCACAAAACAATGACTCTTTGTCTTGAACAGGGTACGGTCAGGCCACTGATTACCACGAAACTAAACAAACCAACTTTCGTCTCTTTCTTGGTCTTTGTTTGTTGTCGCGAAAGGACACGCCGTTTTGACAGCCGTCCTTAAACAGTGCATTTAAAAGCTACGCAATGTTCCGAGTTACGGGGGCCAATCAAAACATGCGAAAATCGCTAGCCACTGAAAATGGCTAAACATCTACCCCACCTCAGGGTCGGCTCATAGCGCTACCAATCCAGGACGCGTTGCGTCGCGGTTTATCTCCACCATTATTTACCTCCTCTTGGGGAGATGGTCGAGTCACAGTACTTATTCAGTAAAAAATAAAATAAAATGTCGTTTTTTTTTTTTCCTTTCTGTAAAAGGCGTAGCGGTACCAAACGTTTTGTTCGTTGGCGGAAAATTTAATTTTGCCAACGATTCAGTTTTATTTTTGGCTTGACTTATCTATTGGGCTACAAGGTGACGATGCCATCAAGCACGTGACTTAGGCAAATTGCTTTTATCTCTGTTCATCTAGAACAGTTCAATTTAGTTGTTATAGATATTTAAACTATAGTTTTGGGTTAAGTGACTAACGAAATTCGGTGATACTTACGCCTCGTTTTTGTAAAAGGTGGTTTGCATGCAATGGTCACAATGTAGTACGTCTATGGGTTTATAAGTCACGTAGTTTGACGCCTAGACTAACCTCCTTTCTTTATTTTAGGTGTATCCTTAGGGACCAGTCATAATTTAAGTTGGAGCGGTGGAAGGGGGGGGTGGAGAAAATGGGGGGTCTTCAATTTTTTTTTGGATGGAATATGGGGGTCCTTAAAATGCCAAAAGATGACCTTGGGGGTCTTCAAGTTTCTTTTAAGTAGCAGCCCTACTGAGCAGCATGATGCTTGAGTATTAAAGGACCTGATTTTGAAGTCAGTTTTACACAAAGTCTATATATTGTGTAATACTAAAACAATTTAATCAGCATTTTGACAAAAAGATTAAATGCTCCAATAGTAGGTGCGTCAACACAACATCCATTATTGTGTAACACTGAAACAATTTCATCGGCATTTTAACAAATGATTACATGGTGCAATCTCACTATCCGAATCATTATTTGTAGATGAGGTTGATGTGGACTCACTGTCTGTGTCACTGTCACGTTTTTTGCTATTAGAGCATGTACTGCTCATATAAAAAGCAGTAAGCTTTGGTTGATTAGCTTCTTTCTTCCTTGAAGCGGTCATGTCGGCCTCTTACCTTTCGATGGCTTGTCTTATCTCAATTATAACACAATCACTGATATATCCTTGCACTATAAGCTGTTTGAGAGGCTCTAGGTGAAATCTCTTTTTCAGTTTAGTGTGAAGTGCTTCTCTGTTGTTAGTTGGCACATTCGGAAGTGACAGTGAGTAAGAACGGTAAAGTAAAGAAAATGCTATTTGTTATTACCATTTGGGTATTATGTAAGAAAGGGGGGCCCTTAAATCTTTTAACATGATTGAAGGGGAAGGGGGTGGGGTACCTAAAAAACATAGCTGCTATTAGTAGGGGTCTGAAAATAATTTGGGATAAAAAACAATTTCTCCTCCATCCCCCCTTCAACTTAAATTATGACTGGTCCCTTATTGGACAAGGGCGACTATTTACAATACCACACCCTTTACGGAATCATCCTTTTTTGGGTTTCCTCCGACCCAGATATAAAATCGAAGGAGCTTCTCTGGGTCGGTGCATTTTCTACATTTGTTAAATGTTGGTACTCTGTTATCATAAGTGCAATGTTTTTTAGGCTATTCTAACCTTTTCTTACCTCAGCTTCGATGGAGGAAACGTTTTTTTTTTTTTTTTTTTTTTTTTTTTTTTCTGTTAAAGATGGTGGAAGAGATTGCTCTCCAAGGGCGATGTTACTTTCAGGCTAAGATAAAAGTGTCAGTATTTTCAAGGAATCCATCAAAAACATAGACTAGATAAAGTCGTTAAATTCATGGTATATAGAAAGAAACTAACACAGCAATAAAATCCTTGCTACATAAAGTAATAGTGGACAAGATTTGTATAAACTGTAAGACATTGTGTTTTACAGAAAGCTTTAATCACACATTGAAGCAAACTGCACTGACATGAAAGAAATATAGCAAAGATGCTATTTCGAGTAATGGGAAAGTTTGACAAGAATCTCAATGCTACGAGTAAAACCATAAAAAAATTCCATTTTTTCCTACTCTTTCACAGATAATCTATAGCCTGCGTGGCAGGCGTTCCAAAGAGAAGCGCGAACGGCGCGCGAGGAAGGAGGAAGGGAAACGCGTTCCTCTCCTTACCTTCTCCCTCGGGAGGGCTCTCGCTCCTAAATTCCCTTTCCTTTCCCTTTCGAACGCCTTCCACGCAGGCTAGAGATCAAGTTATCCTATAATCATATTCATCTCCCTAGCTAATTGATATAAAAATCGTCGAATTCTAATCCGTTTTTAATAATGATTTAGCCTGGAAGTGTTTAGCTCCTGGTTTAGCTACAAAAGGGATCCTGCTTTGATTAAACATTTAATCAGAAAGCACGATGTAATTAAATTGTTTTCACGTCACGAATTCATTAAAGATTTTCGAAAATATTTTGAAGGCAAAGATTTCCTCTTCAAAAGTTTTGTTTTTCTCTGAGATAAAAGATTATACACGACCTTTACTTTGACTAAAATAGACTAAAGGAAATGACCGACAATTTGATGGTATACATGGTAACCCAAGAGAAAAGGGGTTCCCCTGAAGCTGAAGTGACATATTTTGCATCCATAACATATCACCTACAAAAAAAAAAAACAATCAATCGCTCTTTATCACAGCTATTTTGTCTCATCACTCAGTGGGAAGGAGTGGTGCGTGACAAGACTAAACGTCTGCATGGCGGTCCAACTCCCTATGAATTCGGCCAATTATTGCGTCGTCACGAAAGGTGCCTCCCCACAAAGAAGCTAAAACAGCGCTACGTGACAAAAAACAAACAAACAAAGAAACAAACAACAACAACTGCTGCCCATAAAGGTGAACGAATACGACTAACATGCCTACACTTAATACAAAATTTTGAAACTGCTATAAGAGTTTACTATTGACAATCTAAAACGACGGAAGTAGCCACATTAAGGGCTAAAAAGAAAATAACCAAAAACCAATACTTTTGTACCTTACGCTTTACAGTCTATATCTGTAAAATGCTATTCTAAGGAAATTAAAACAGTGCCAAAGTTAAAGACTCCCCTTATTAGGACTGGGACCTAGATACTTCTTCAATCATTATCCGGGACACTGAATTCCACCCAGTGTAAGCATTACCCAGGGTGCTGCCACTGCACTTTCCTACCCATAATTCCACTCTAACAGCACCTCGTGGGATGTTTTCACAGTACCCCTCAAATGACCGATGATGCAGCAGATCAGGGTTCCCAGATGGCCAGTAGTTGTAAACAACAGCCTCGATCGTCATTGGTCCACTGCATTCGTTTCCATTGAACTTGAAACACCACCGATTACACTTAACATCACCATAGACCATCATGTTTCCCTGGAATGAGACTCTGAGTGCTGAATTAGACTGCAGTTTGTTAAACGCAGAGTCCTGGAATAAAATCAAACAAATCAAACATATTTCAGTAAGGCAAGAAACCGTGTGTAATGATTGATACTAACAACTCCAGTCAAGATTACTTCCTAATTTTTAAAAACTCTGTAATAGCTTCAATTTTTGTTGTCCTTATCCATATGGCCAGGAATCATTTTATCAACGACGATAGTTTTTTCCTTTTTTCGTTCAAAAAGAACAAAATTATGGGGAAATGTAACTAATTAGTTATTTATTTAATGAAAGCGGAGACGTTCTTCTTTGAAATCTTTTAATTAAAAAAGGAATGAATTTTCTTAGGAGTGTGTTATGATTCTTATTCTAATTACCTTAATCTTTCCGTTATCAGTATCGCTAGCTGATTTCCACACACATTGTTTCCAGTTGGTTTGTGGTACTACACTTGCTTCACTTGCTTTGACGCTTTCTCCTTTCTCTCCTTTGTCTCCTTTTCTTCCTTTCATTCCCGCAATGCCTCGCTCTCCTTTTATTCCCACAGCTCCTTGCACTCCTTTCATTCCCACAATGCCTCGCTCTCCTTTCATTCCCACAATGCCTCGCTCTCCTTTCATTCCCACAGCTCCTCGCACTCCTTTCATTCCCAAAATGCCTCGCTCTCCTTTCATTCCCACAGCTCCTCGCACTCCTTTGATTCCCACAATGCCTCGCTCTCCTTTCATTCCTACAGCTCCTCGCACTCCTTTCATTCCCACAATGCCTCGCTCTCCTTTCATTCCCACAGCTCCTTGTTCTCCTTTCATTCCCGCAATGCCTCGCTCCCCTTTCATTCCCACAGCTCCTTGTTCACCTTTCATTCCCAGAAGTCCCTGTTGACCTTTCATTCCCTTAATTCCTTGTGGTCCACTCTTTCCAGGGGGTCCTTTGCGCCCTCTGTCTCCTCTTGGACCCGGCATTCCTTGCGATCCTTTATCACCAATTTGTCCTTTTACACCTTCCCTTCCCTGGGGTCCTTGTGGCCCCGGGACGCCCGGCACTCCCGGAATACCATTTGATCCTGGAATACCAGGAAAACCCAGCATAGATCGCTGAAAGTAAAGATGACTTATTAGCAGAGAAGAAGACGACACGGGATCTTAGGTAACTCGAGGTGGGGGGTACTCCTGGGAACTCTTGGTGGGGATGTGCCCGCCGCCTGGTTTCCCAAATCCTGACTCTATTTCAGACCAAGAAAGGTCATTTTGTACATCCGTTTTCAGACTTGGAGCTAAACTCCATACCAGTTTTAGGACCTTGTCTCTAAGAAATTATGCATGTCATTTTCCCTTAGATTAACTCTCTTTTGGAAATGAACGGATAATTCAGTTCATACACGCCCATAGCTCCCTCGCAAACGATGATTCCACACCAAAATGAACAAATTCTGTACCCGCCGGCCGTCTCCCTTTGTTTTCGAGGCACGGAATGAACCTTGGACATCATAATCCTATTTAAAGCGTTATCTCACCTCGAATAGACTTAGAGGTAATCAGAGAAAATTAACAGTTAACAATGGACAGGCTTCAGGTTTTCGAGGAAAGATCATGCGGAAGCGAGGACTTTGAATAATCTGCCATACACTTTTAACGGATACTTTTTGGTAAATGATCATAACGACGTGAGAGTAATAAAAAGGTTTCTAGGTGTACCTAATCTACGGCGCAGTACTCCTAGGCCTTTTTATATCTCTATGCATTTCTTACCTGGCATAAGTCTTTTAACTTTGAATCGTTTTGTTGCTGAGGTGGGGTGGTTGTTTCCAGAGAGCCGCCAGAAAAAGAGAGAATCAGGAAAACAGCGAAATACTGAACCATGGCGGTGAGAGTTGAACGAGAACACAGCTTTCACTGAAATCAGTGCTACATGCTCATCATTTTATAGAAAATATTTTAATTAAATCCTCAGCTGTTCCGGTATATTGTTTGTTAGTTTGCTTGTTTCTTTTCCTTTTATGGCAATTTTTTTTGTATCTTCTTATTCTCTGTTTTTAAGCCCGCTTCAGGGTACTGAAACAGGGTCAAAAGATGAACATTCCAAAAATTAATTACAGAATGTAAATTTTACAAAAGCAACTTTTAAAGGCAGTTTTATGCACGCTATCGTTTCTAACGGCGGTGACCCGATCCCTTTCCTTTTTAGTGCGCCAAAAAGCCAAAATATAACTTGGCTTTCAATCCAAGTTGGCTATGTTAAGTCAGAAAAAAAGTAGCGGCTCCATTAAGCTCAAGCGAAACAAGCTTTAACGTGTCTAGTGTTAGTGTGTTTATTTGTGAACTCCCGTATCTTATATCTTATAACAACCTATACGGGCGGGGAGGCGCTGCCCAAAAGGATACTTCTTTTGACATGGACTGGACATGGACAACCTAAAGAAACCGATGGAAAGAACGCCTTAAAATTAGAAAAATTGTGAAGTCTAAGTCGGATTTGTTGAAAACTAACGAAGATATAGCTCCTCAATGTCGCCAATTTTACAGATGTTTGTATGGTGGGGGCCGGGCACAAAGTTGCTCTTCCCCCTCCCCACCCTCCGAATACAAACGTCTGTCAATTTTGGCAACTTTACAGAGCTATATCTTTGCACGCTTAGGGCGTACCACTTTCTCATTTGGCAATGTTACAGCCACTGAAATTAAAATTAAACTTGTGTTAGTACTAGATATGTGTCAGAAGCCGTGGAAGAAAAAAGTATCTCCTTCCTCTACCGCTGTGACGTTATTGAGATGATTGTTTGCAAAAAAAAAAAATAATAAAATGAAATAATAAAACAAGAAAGAGCAAAAGCCTAGCACAATATTTTTACGGTCATGAATCCACAGATTTGAGTTATTTCCAGTCCTGTTTAACCTAGCTCATTCTTAGCTATCGCTTGTAAGCCGCGGGATCATGATGCACCTTCTCATACATTAATTCAGAGTTAGGGAGGCGTATAAACGGAGGGGCTTTAATATCCGAGGGGGCCTATAGATGGTATAGACAAAGCGCTTCGAAATAAGCTGTAGCAGTGCTGATCAAAATACATTTTTGCATTTACCGCTCGTTAATGAAGGCTTCAAAACGTCATTATAAATCGAATTCAATTCAGTTCAAGCAAGAGGGGAGCGTGGTTTATTCGGTGGGGCTTATATTCGAACGTTTTTTTTTTTTTTTTTTTTTTTTTTTTTTTTTTTTTACAGCCGTGATATCGGTCCCTAACTGAAGTGAGGACTAATGAGTGAAGGCCCTTATTCGCCACTTTGGGATTGCGCGGACTAGGTCGAGATGTTTGTCAAGTGCATTGTTGGACGTTTTGGGAGGACGCGTTTTCAACAGTGGCAAATAAGCGGCAGTTTACGGTGTTTCACCGCATTGGTTCAGATTTTCAGATCCAGAGGAAAAGAGCAAACTTTTCATCACTGACGCGCTCAATGCATGTAACAAGTGCATTATTCGTGTACAACGTGACATGCATAGAGCGGTTACAGAGCTGAGTGATATTTCAATAGAAGGATTTATCTCTAAATTTCTACATGTGTAGTAAACAATATTTTCAGGGTTTCCGGTAACTCGTCTTGCAGAGAATTCATTCCTTTCATCTCGCGCTGAATCGATCGTCCCCGTCTTTTTACTTCCTAAATTCTTGGCCACTACAGCTAAAAGAACACTACTTGCATAAAAAAAGCGTACATTCAGACGTAGACAGGGCTTACAGATATTAAAAACTCGAGTAAAACGTTCTGGTTTCGTGATTTTCCTCTTTCCTGTTGAAAAGAGTGCATTTATAGCAGCAAAAAAGGGATATAAAGTTCTAAACGTGGTATGTTAAAAGAGGCATCATTTGTCAATGGAAAGTATAGGAAACGGTATCTTGTCTATCAAGAAATGGTACGTAAAAGGGTTAAGGGATTGGACCTCAAGGGAAGCCTCTCCATATCAAACTTAGTTGAGAAGCCCCTCCGGCTAGTATGATCTAGAGTCTATCAAAAAGAGAGCGCAACATTGTTGTTCCTATTTTTGCTGTAGCAGACGTCGATACATAATGTGGAACGTGACCTTCCTTTTTGCCACCGATACACGCTGCAAAACAATTGCGAGACATTTATGTTGGAGGCAGCTTCCTTCCTGAGCAATAACAAAATTATGAGTCAAGTAGTACGTAACATAATAGGGCTTACGCAGCAACGGCGGAGGAAGTTTTCCTTATTAAAGAAAACTTGCCCTTGTAACTGAAGGGCTTTAAGCCGGTTTTTACGCTATGATTTTTCGAAAGAAAAACGAAAAGGTTAAAACTTGCTGAAAATTGGAAAGATTAAAATAATCACCTGCATCACCATATATTTTCTTTGGAAATAAATCGGGCATAAAATCTCTGAGTGTAAACCAGCTTTTAAATAGCAAAACAAACAATGAAAATGGATAAAAACATTTTTAAACATTTTATTACCTTTTTCTACTCAACTAAGTCATGCAATGCGAACGCCCAAAGAAGAGTTTTAGTTTCTCTTTTTACAAAACTCAGATCCATTTCGTACGGTCTGGCATGTTTTCCACTCGCTAATCTCATAACCAAAAATGGACATGAATTATTTCAGGGTACAAGCTCGCCTGATAATTAATTTTAACAGCAACATAGTGGAGCCCCGCAATACGAACACCCGTTTAGACGACCACCTTGTGATTACGACCATATTCTTTCGATTCAAACGTAGAAATAAGACTTATTCTAATTTTTATCTTTTTGAAAATCACCCGTTAAAGCGACCACCTCATTTTTACGACTGGGATTTTATGGCCCAACGGTGGTCGCATTGACGGGGTTCCACTGTTTGCTTTATGACTTCCGTTTGAGGGTCGAGACTGACCTTCACTGAGCTGAAACAAGGCTAATCGAGCAACAATGCGCTTAAAATCAACTGCGTTCTACACTTGAATAAAAATATTTTTTAACTTTTACTCTAAAGCCATCCTTAAACGCTTTAAATAACGTATTCACATGTATATCATAGTCATTAAAATAAAGTACAAGAATAGTAAATAAGAACTTGTTTCAATAATTAACACTGTTTAGACTTGTTTCCTTCGGTAAGGCTCTTTTGAAAAACCAAGACACCAAGATGCCGAAAAACAAAGGACACTATAAATAACCTCCTTCTAAATGCATTTATCAGACATAATAGTCTGTTTACTTTTAAAAGCTACTTCATTATATAACTAACAAAAAACATTTAATTATTCAGTCTCCTGCACTATTATTAGCTTTCCACTGTATCCGTTTTATCCCCAGGGTCTTCGTCAAACTGCGACCTTTTCAATCCAAGAAATCTTAGAGCATTTCCGCCTAACAATTTATCCTACAACAAGAGATGGATTTTGAATTAAAAGGCTTTTATCTGAGGTTAGACTATTCACAGTCCACTATTTCTTCCTAAGATCGACAGGATAGAGCGCTAGCTTACCGGAACGGACGGTTATCTCGGTTACACATGAACCGAGGGAGCGGGCGTCGGGCTTTACCTATCCAAGATGGCCGCCCGTAACGCAGAGTCTTCGATCCCGACGATCTTACGGAAAAATAGGTGTTGTGAAACGTTAGAATGCTCATGATTGTATTTTCTTATTTCATTAAATTTTCAGTAGTTGATAAAGTAAGCCATTATCTCGCCACCGCTAAAACAGATGTTTAGATTGTAACAGGAAATATCGTGGGATAAGATAATTAGAATTAATCAACGTTGTATTACTAGCTTAACCGCAGATAAGGATTAGCACCATGATTGTCAAGTAAACCCACGCTTAATAGGAAATTAGCTGAAATCAGTGCCCACGAATGTTAAACGTGAGCAAAGAACTTGCAACACATTTGATTATTATGACCACGCCAGAATTACCCATCTGGGTGTGGACTTCCTTAGCTAATATACGCAGCATTTTTGTAGAATTTAGTTAGATTGAAATTGATCGTAGAACGGAACGTGTAAGGCTGAATTGTGAAGAATAAAGTCAGATTTGTGCCAAAGTATACTGTCCTCGATTGTTGAACCAGCGTGTGCGGAATCTCTCTCTATCGCAAGTGGGAAATTCTGCGAAAATAGGGGTCTGTGAATCGAATGATGAACAGGACATTTGATGATGGGCAAATGCACTCCCCCCTGAACAATTACTCCACCTATTTTCCAAAATAACAGGGAATTAATTGAGAACCATTTTGTTCGATCTCCTTAAATATTTGTTGAATAACTGTTGAATTGCCAGGTACATGTAGAACAATATACTAAAGCAGGGTAGGACTAAACCTCTGCAAGAGAGAATTGGCGGGGGGGGGGGAGATGGTGGGGATTGTGCTTTATTCAAAGGGATGGGAATGAGCGAATTGGGACAAAAGTCAAAACCTGGGGAGAGGGGTGAGGCCTATTTCTCATTCTCTTTCGTACAGTGGAACCTCGATATAACGAAGTCCTCGGTATAACGAACGATATTTTCTTCCCCAATTATAGTATAATGTATGGAAAAGAACCTCGATATAAAAAGCAAAATTTCCGCATCACAGCAATAAGGAGTTTAAGCAACGACGACGGCGAAGTTTTATCAAGGGCAAAAACCCCGTGAAACTGAATGTGATTGTTCTCTTACCCTAAGTTCCAGGTCGTCTTTGTACACATCCTCGTTGAGTTTTCCTGGCCCGTAGCGGAAACGGGTAGTCACTGCCTAAAATAACATTCTCCTGAAAAAAAAAAAAAACAAACAAACAAAATACACGTGCAGGATAATGAGCCCACGCTTGGTGCGATGAGAAAATTGGGAACTTGAAGGTTTATTTATTTTCAGTGTTATGTCTGTCCAGGGGACAAATTGCACTTTGCACACAAAAGAAGATTGTTGAAAACACAATTTTAATGGGGACTCAGACTTGCTTCAGCTCGTTCTTGATCAACACAACAAGTCACAATCTCATCATGGCTTAATAAAACTTCAGCTTGTTAGTAAAAACCTCGGCAAAAGAAAAACTAAATCACTGTCGGGGTAGAAACTGATCAAATGCTGTAGGAGCTCTGAAAAACTTACCATACGATGAGAAACTCGCACCAAAGCGTTAAAGGTAATTAAGCACGTGGTTTGGTTCACGACGTTTTCACAACGAAAGATTCGAAGAAGTAACAAAATTGTTACTGCTGCTTCACCAGTTTCCGTACATTTAGAAAACGGTACAACAGTTATAGTGCCATAAATACCGGTAAAAACGAATCGCGAACTGTAGCAGTTATACATGTACAAGCAAATAAGCCATAACTGTTTTAAATAGTAAGTTACGTCTTTGTTACGATGAGAATTACCCTTTAAGCCCCAATATCTACATACAAATTCTCCACACTGTTTTTGGTGAAAATTTTATAAACTGTCATAACCATTTCCCTTGATTGTGCTGATATTGTAATTAGGAGAAAGTTCATGGTGGTCACTCTTATGACTTATTAAAAGGGTTAAGTTTTACATCCCATTGGTATGGCACATTTTGTCTGTTTATTAAAGGGGCTACGTCATGGTCATCGGGTTATTACCACTGCCATCGGAAATATGTCAAAGGCATTAACAATAGATTCGAGTTCCGCCCTACTGATAGTGGACAGGTTTTAAAACTACTGAATAAACTAAATAAGTCTAAAGGGGCTGGTCTTGATAAGCTATCAAGTCGGCTTATTCGTGAATGTGCTGACCTTATTTCACCATATATCTCGATTATTTTTAATTGCTGTTTAACTACCGGCACATTCCCTGAAGACTGGAAATTAGCCAAAGTTATGCCTATATTCAAGCAGGGCGATAGAAGTGATATGAACAATTATCGCTAAATTTCTGTGATCTCAGCAATAGCAAAAGTCCTCGAGAGAATAGTTTATAATCAGGTTTCTTCCTATTTATCCGAAAATAATATTTTGTCAAAATATCAGTCTGGTTTTCGATCCTTTCACTCAACTGTAACCGCTTTGCGCGAAGCCACTGGTAACTGGGCCTTTAACATAGATCGTGGCTATGTTAACGCTGTTGTCTTTTTAGCGGAGCTCCACCCGCGCGCGAAGCGCGCGCGTGGACGGAGCCCCATAGCTAAGGAAATGTTGTAATCTACCCGTCCGAGAAAATTGGTAATCACGTGACCGTACACCCGACCGTCCGTCCGCACCACAGGGAAACCAATGTTTACTCTCACACTTTCTAGCTAGTTTGGGAGCCCAATAGAAAACTAATTGCACATCAATATTGTGATCAATTGACAGCTGTCAAAACAGGATATCTGCTGACCAGTATCACCTGACCGTACTGCGGGCTCAAGTGTCGACCCATCGAGGTCGAGTACTTTTTTGAAGTTATCCGCTAACAAATTACCAGTTTCAAATGATCGCAGGCTCAAGTCTATTTTTTCCAATGATTCATATGAAATATGTTGTGTTTATGTCACTATGGCCCCGCACTGTCAAGATTTTGATTTCAAACTGACCTCGGACGCGAAAATTCAGCCACTTTTTTAAAAATAAAGGCGGGGAAGACCTTTTCTTACCATGGTCACGCGTTGGTCACGCTCTACGTCCAATTTTTGTACTCTGATTGGTCAAAATGTGACAGGTGAGTTCATGCGGAAAATTTATGCAGCATCTTGAAAGTTGTTTACTTTGACAGCAAAAGCTGACAGAGTTTTGTGTCAACTTGTGATGTTTTTAACTGTCTAAATCTTTTTCCACTGGATGTACAAAATGAAATACAGCTGCTATCAAGAGTCTTCTGTTATCCATGGCTGGTTTGTTTATTGGGTTTTTGGTTGAGAAATGCGTCGCTTGTCAAAATTGAGTAATCCGATTTCGGATGGCATCGTTTTCGTCTTTCACCTTGCTCAATGCGTAAGAGGGTTTAAAAGTCTCAAGCAACTATGGCCTTCCTTGATATCTTTCAGGAACTGAATCTCGAATGGTAAGCCTGAGTAATTATTGTATTTGATGTTTGTTTTTGTTATATCTAATTTCATGAAGTCGAGCACAGTTTATGCGGCAAGTTTTTGCACGTTTGTTGAGATTTGAGTCAATGATCTGATCTAGTATCAGGTTTGATATAAGCTTACAGAACTTTAAATGGCCTTCAGATATATTTTCTCACGGCAACTAGAAAAAAAAAACGTTCCTAAGAATATTTAGTTATAAATTTGGCTGTAGAAAGAAAACTTTGAGTGATTTTCTTGTTTCGAAGAGTTCATCTTTGAAAAAAAACAAACACCGGGAGGCCGGCTGAAAGTAAAACAAAATAAACTTAAGCTTAACCCATTCGCCCCTGAACCGCCCGTAACCGCCCGTGCGGATCTAGGTCCTTTCTACCCTTTGTGACGTCATCAGTTTTAACGGTCAAGGACAACTTTCTTCGCTAACTTGTGCAGGGTGAAGAGATCTTTCAAACCATACCAGAATGAGCACAATTCAGTCAAGGACACCGGAGAAAGAAGCAAAAAACCACGTGACAAGGACCTGAAAATCTCCATGAAAATCTTGTTCCATTACCCACCTACCTTTCCTTTCACCTAATCCTAAGATCCTACAAGCTTTCCTAAAAACTCTTCCCACCAAAGTGAAGCCTACTAAATGCCCAGCAAGAGAAAAAAAAATGAGGCAAGAAAAGCGAAAAAAGAAGGGAGGAGAGAAAGCGAAAAGTAAAAGTCAAGACTTCTGTGTCACTTTTAAACCCAAAAACTGTCGAAATTTTGCTTTCTGCGCATGCCCGAACTTCGTAAGCTGATATTTTGCATCTGGATCAGAAGGCCGCCAAGTGTACGACCTGTAAGCCGGTTTGTGGTAAGTTTTAGCTCTTTATAGCACGACAGTGACCAGAAAACCACACGACTAGCTTCAAAACGCGTTTTTCGGCAAAATCTCCAGGAGCGAATGGGTTAAGCAGAGTACCAAGCTTTTTGAAAAAAATCCACTTTTCAGCATAAAACAACCAAATCTGTCTATTTCATGTAAAATCAGGTGAAAAAGTTGGTAAAAGGCCATTTTTAGGTTTTTTGATTAAGCTTTAAGCTTAAACACTCAGGATTTTTAGAGACACTTTAATACTTGTCTTCGTGAATGAAAATTGTTGTCTCTGTAAATGTTTTACCGAATTATATTTCTCTTATTGATTGTTAGTAGTCTCTCTTGCTATTTTAATCGCTTGTCTGTGGTGTTTGTTTTCATCGTTCATGAACATCGCTCGCAGGAGTACTTAGAAATGTCGCGCGTATCAAACGCTGTACAAGATTACACATCGTTATAACTGGAACCATTAAATAACAAAAAATAATGATAATAAATTCGTTATTATGTTGAAGCGTATCTCCATTAAAGTTCATTCAAACACTTGACCACACTGACAGCTCGCACTAAAAATGAGAACCGGCTGGCCGTATGAGTGATTTTGGAAATTTTTTGAACGGTTTCGCTAAAAGCCCACGATTGATCGTCCCGAACATTGAAAAATTGTGAAATGCCGTATTCTGCCCGAGGTCTGTACGATACAAAATACTATTTCACCTCAGATGTGATGCATAAAAAGTATAAAAAGTTGGTTTACACACCCTCAGATTTGTTGGCAAGAATTTGTAAAGTATAAAACCTGTCGAACGCAAAAAAATGCGGCCTGATTTGTTTTCAAGAATTTGTTTTCGAGGCCAAATCTACTGTGATCAAGAGCCATTATGGCTCTTGAATGTGATAGAAGATGTTTGCTATTTTTTGGGTGTACATATATTTAGGCTATCAACTCAATGTGAGATGTTTCACTCTGAAATAGCTTATCCTTTCCGTCAAAAGTCACATGAATGTGCCCTTAAGTTAACTGATTTGTGGATTACAAGTTTATTGTTTGTTTTAAAATATAAACTTATTAATGGGAGCTTCGCTTTTAGCCCTGGCTAAATCTATATATTAGATCTAAAAAAGGCATTTGACACAGTCGATCACTCTATTCTATTATCCAAACTATGTTTACATGGAGTCAAAGGAATTGCCTACAAATTGCTTTCTTCTTACTTAGAAAATCGTACGCAAAAATGTTCTGTCAATGGTGTCCTTTCTAAAAGCTGCACTTTAACTTGTGGGATTCCCCAGGGGACAATACTGGGGCCTTTGCTGTTTCTCTTATACATTAATGACTTACCTAATTGTTTATCTAACTCGCAACCAAGAATGTACGCGGATGATACTCACCTAACATATGCTGACAATGACATCTGCTCCCTTGAGGCTTCTTTAAATCAGGACTTGTTAAATATAAACAATTGGCTCATTGCCAATAAATTGACTCTCAATATGACTAAAACTGAATTTATGTTAATCGGATCAAGACAAAAATTGAATAGTCTATCCGTTCTCCCAAACTTAGAAATTAATGGCACACAATTAAACAGAGTCGATTTTACCAAGTCTCTTGGTGTATTAATTGATGAAAATCTAACATGGAGTAATCATATCAAAGCTATATTTAAAAAAATCTCTTCTGGTATTGGATCTATTAAACGAATAAGTCGCTGTGTTCCTCCTGCAACTCTAGATAATATCTATCATGGGTTAGTTCAATCACACTTCGACTATTGTAGTGTTGTTTGGGGTAACTGTGCCAAAACATTATCTGACAAATTACAGAGACTTCAAAATCGTGCTGTCCGCGTCCTTACCCATTCTAGTTATGATGCTGACGCCAACCAACTGCTTAAAGAATTAGGCTGGGACAATTTAGAAACTCGACGTCAAAAACTAAAGATGGTCTACAAGTCCTTAAACGGCCTCGCACCGAATTATTTGTCCTCGAAATTCATTCAACGGAGTGATGTGATTACTTCTTACAATTTGCGCGATTCTGATAATAAGCTTGCAATACCATTGCCACGTACTAACCGTTACAAAAATAGCTTTGCCTAAAGTGGTGCAGTCCTCTGGAACAGTCTACTCTCAGCTGCTAGGCAAGCAACATCTCTGACTAATTTCCGACGATTCTTAATTAATTCCGACACGGCATTCGTGTAAATCAGGCTTTAATTTAGTTTACTTTTCCTTAATAGTTAGCAATATTTTAAATTATAGAAGATTAATCTGTATACATAGTTTCGTATTTAAGTTGTAGCTTTATATTAAATTGTTAATGCCTGATGTATTTACCGTGTTTTTAAATAAAGATTATGATGATGATGATGATGATGATGATGATGATGATGATGATGATGCTGTTTTAGGCCAATTCTGTGCTGCAGTCGTTACTTAGTTCTTTTACCCACACACAAAATGCTCCTTTAGAGTGATGAAGAAAATATAAATAGTAGTATAGGGCGCACCGAATTATCCTTATTTTTTGGGGGGAATCTCATTAAGGTGGGGGGAATAAATTAACGTCGCTGACGTCATAGGCTATTGTCCTCATCTCATAAATAAAATGCGGTGGATTTAATTAAGTATACTGGTATAACCGGATTGACAGGTTTTAGTTATTTTCGGAAGATGATAACATATGTATTCCGCGAGGCGTAATGTAATTATGCAAGTCCTATTTCCTGCTGCTGTGATTGTCCTAGTTCCGGTTCACTGACTTTTGGCGGGCAAATCGTGCATATTAATGACCGCAAAGACAAACTAGCTCTTGTCCTATTTGCTGCTGCTGTGATTGTCCTAGTTCCGGTTCACTGACTTTTGGCGGGCAAATCGTGCATATTAATGAGGGCAAAGACAAACTTGCTCTTTTTTTACACTGCAAACAATGTTTTACTTACCCTTCTCCTTTTCACAATTTTGTTATTTTCCTTCCTCAATTTTTTATTCCCATTTTTCCCTCCTCCTCCTCCTCCTCCTCATTTTTATTGTTTTCCCTCCTCCTCCTCCTCCTCCCTCACCTCCACCTCCTCCTCATTTCTATTGTTTTCCCTCCTCCTCCTCCTCCTCCTCCTTTCTATTGTTTTTCCCTCCTCCTCCTCCTCCTCCTCCTCATTTTCATTGTTTTCCCTCCTCCTTCTCCTCCTCATTTTTATCGTTTTTCCTCGAAAAGGCCAAAAGGCTAAAATCAGACCATCACATTTGAGTTTGGCCTTAAAGGCCTGATTTTAGCCTCTTGGCCTTTTCGAGGAAAAACGATAAAAATGAGGAGGAGGAGGAGGAGGAGGAGGAGGAGGAAAACAATAGAAATGAGGAGGAGGAAAAACAATAGAAATGAGGAGGTGGAGGAGGAGGAGGAGGAGGAAAAACAATAGAATGAGGAGGAGGAGGAGGAGAAAAACAATAGAAATGAGGAGGAGGAGGAGGAGGAGGAGGAGGAGGAGGAGGGAAAACAATAGAATGAGGAGGAGGAGGAGGAGGAGGAGGAGGAGGAGGGAAAAACAATAGAAATGAGGAGGAGGAGGAGGAGGGAAAACAATAAAAATGAGGAGGAGGAGGAGGAGGGAAAAATGGGAATAAAAAATTGAGGAAGGAAAATAACAATATTGTGAAAAGGAGAGGGGTAAGTAAAACATTGTTTGCAGTGTAAAAAAAGAGCAAGTTTGTCTTTGCCCGCCAAAAGTCAGTGAACCGGAACTAGGACAATCACAGCAGCAGCAAATAGGACAAGAGCTAGTTTGTCTTTGCGGTCATTAATATGCACGATTTGCCCGCCAAAAGTCAGTGAACCGGAACTAGGACAATCACAGCAGCAGGAAATAGGACTTGCATAATTACATTACGCCTCGCGGAATACATATGACATCATCTTCCGAAAATAACTAAAACCTGTCAAACCGGTTATACCAGTATACTTAATTAAATCCACCGCATTTTATTCATGAGATGAGGACAATAGCCTATGACGTCAGCGACGTTAATTTATCCCCCCCCCACCTTAATGAGATTCCCCCCCAAAAAATAAGGATAATTCGATGCGCCCTATACTACTATTAATCAAACAAATTACATCAGAGAGCACTAACGGCAATACTTTTCTAGTGATTTTTGCTGGCATGGCATCAAAACTAAGTTTCAATCCACATAGTAACCAGTTTCAATGTTTATAAAATAATGTCTAAAATAACAAACCTGGACCGTCACTTTTAGAATTCAATTGATGCAAAGAAAAAAAAATGGCATGTAGCGTGACATGACCTCCTTTAAGTACACGTCTTCTTAATTTTTGCTTGCAACAATTTCATTGTGTATTAATTAAATAGATCATAACCAAAAAGTCACTGAACTCTTTACCTGACCAATAGTGTCAACCAGTAATTTAAGAGCTTTTTCATCATGGACAAGACTATCTGTATAAACTTGACCAATGTACTTCCTGCAACATTCAATGTTAAAACGAATGATTCATTTAAGGTTCTGTTTCCCGGGGGGTACTTGGGTAAAGTTTTGCTGGGTATGTGCGTTGGCCTCTCAGAGCCCCTACCCCTTTATAGTCTATTTTGTGACAAATTATAGTCCCCACCTTAGTCACTTTTGGGCAAATATCTAATTCTTTCCATTCCGACTTAGCCACTTTCTATTTTAATGAACTGACCCATATTTTTAAAACTGAATGAATAACACTTTAATTTTCACCTACAGTACAAACATCCCGGTACGTTTGCTAGCCGTTATTATGAAGACGTCTTATCCCAAAAAATCCGAAAATGTGCGAACCCATTCCAGTAACTATATTGAAATATGAAAATGTGACCCCATCCAATTAGCCTCTTATAATTGCCCCCCTCCCCCCGAGTTCTGTTTATAGTTTAGAAAGTATTGTGAGATTATACATAATACATCTAACAAAATTAATTTAACACTACTACAATACAGTTAACTCGCACTGGCACTGTTCGATGCGACAAAAGGGGCCGTCTTAGGCCCTGTTTAGACGCCCAACTTTTCATGAGCCGAACCTAACTCAAATTAAGGCCGACCCAATTATTTAGACCAGCTGAATTGATTTAAACACGCCGATCTTAATTTCGGCTGAACTAAATTCAAAAGGCTAAAAATGCTCATTTCGGTCAAACTGCTTACAAAATACGTAAAATAATTTGTGCATTAGGTTCGATACATGAAAAGTTCGGCGTCTGATTCAAAGCCGTTCCAAAGTCGCTCCAAAGGCGAAATTCCCAGCCAGGCTTGGCGAATTGAAAAGAACGGCTGATCTGTGTCAAATTGAACCAGGCGTTCCTAATTTATTCATGACGCCGAACTTTTCATGTACTTTAATTTATTCAATGTATCAGGTTCGGCTCACGAAAACTTTTGGCGTCATGATTCGTTTCGATAACGTCCTGTTAGCCAACGTCTCAGGTATCCTCCGACCCAAATCAAAAATCAGAGGAGTTCCTATGGGTCGGTGCAGGGTCGACACTTGTTTTACGTTTGTACGTTTTATGAAAGCTGCCTTTTTTTTTTGTTTTTTGGTTATTCTAACCTTTTATTAGATCACCTTTGGCTGGAACATCGAGAAAACGTTTTTTTTTTTTTCGGTTAGGATGATAGAAAAGATAACTCACAGCACGAAAAAAGAAATTTGAGTGGGCGTAATGGTGGCGTAAAGTTCTCATTTACGTAACTTTACGACCCATTTACGCCACGTAAAGTCGAACTTTACGCTACCTTTACGCACATACGTAAAGGTATCGTAAAGAGACAGTTTAAGGTCTGCGTAAAGTTGGTGCAAATGCGCATTAAAGCAGAGACTTAAACCAGCGTAATTGAAGCGTAAAGTTTGTGTAAAGACCTTATTGAGACAATCCTTTTACGCGTTAAGCGGACTTGCAAAGGAGTAGTAGCTTATAAAATAGGGTCCCTTTCCGTTTTCAATTTTGCATTACTATAACCAATTTTCAAATTGCCTATCTTTATTTTTACATTTCAAATCCCATGAAAATCGCCAGGTATGCTACATTGTTGTAACTGCAAAAGCTGCAAATACGAATCGCATTCTTTAAGTGTGGTCCCGAAAAGAGTAATCTTACAAGGTTTTAAAAAACAAAACACACTGATACTCTAAAACTGAATTTTCTAAATATGACATGATTTATTTCTGTGTTAGCATCTTTGTCATTACATTAAAAATTAAAAAAACGAAAATTTTTCCAACACCTTAGTAAGGTTTAAATAAGAAGATACAGTGTATATAAACTTTTCAAATGGGTCACAACAGTCTTCTCAAAAAATAAAAAAAAATCATCTTAACTTAGTATTATACCAAATTAAGATGTTTTATAGTTTAAAATAATTATTAGTATTTACATGTAAGGTACAAGAAAACTGATGAAGTCAAATTTTGATAAAAAACAGCAACTCTAACACACAAATTAATGTAAAGGTGGGTCAAAATGGTCTCTTCCAAAATGAAAATATTTAGTATAATTTAGCATAATTCAAATTAAAAGCTTAAACAATTTTAGATAAGAAATAAAAAGACTGAAGGCCTAATACATGTATATCATTGATGGTTTCTTCACTTAGTCCTTTCACTCCCAGAAGTGTTCACAGCCAAATTTAACAAAAAAATCCAAATACATGTAACAAATCATTTTCATAAACTGATGATGTAAAAGTTAGATGCACAAGGCAGTCACTGAAATTGCAAGTTATTAGAGAGTAAATGAAATTAGTGAGCGGGACATTGAAAGGGTGGTAAGTTGTTTATGTTTTAATAAAATTAATTATCCTTTCGTTTCCTCTCAAAATAGCAAAGTATTGGGCTCAAAGTAGCCAATTTAAAGTTTGGTTTATTGACCTTAGTGACAGCCCTGGAACCACTTTACAAGACTAAAGCTTGCAATTAACATGTATTAATCCTGTTTGCTTTGAGAGGACTTTCTGTCACCAACATCCCATACCAGGCTGATCTGCTGAATAAATAGAAAGCAAGTATTATTTGAGTAAACTACACAGATTACTTGTAGGCTAGTGATAATACACTTAATCGGGCACTAAAGGCACAAGTACATGTACAGTAAGGGGGTGTTTACATGAGAAAACTTGCACTGGCGCGAGTCTCATACCGGGATGACTTTTTCATTGTGCATCGGGTTTACATTATGACTGAGTCATTTCATATCTCGTTATTTGAAGGTACACTTCATGTTGATAAAATACACGTGTGATTCAAAATCGCAAACATTATGCATGCGCTACCTATTCCAGTCCACCGGCAGACTGATTTCACACTGAAACGGGTGGTCTTTTCGCGTTCACATGATACCGCTGCGAGATTTCGTACCAGAGTGAAAT